TTATAAATTATTAATAAATTATTAGATAATAAAATTACTTGATGTTTAAATTTTTAAACGTGCTATTTTTTTTCGAAGTTTTGTAAAAACAACTTTCAGCGATTACAGAGATAGACCAATCGGTGGCGCCATTTCGTAAACAAATCGAAATTAGTGCCGTGTTAGCGGAGAATTATTATGCTAAATGAACTTTACGAGATCAGTTGACTGTATTATATATAGGCATAATTTTTATACGCGTGGTGTAGTTTCTTTGAGCAGAAATATTTTTCCCTTAGAATACTTCTTTTTTAAAATTTATTAATGACACAGACATACATTAAAATTTTTATTAAATGCGAAAAAGACATTGAGTGTCACTTAATTACTTTTGTAAATCTTCTATTTATTCTTTATTATTACTTCTGTTGTCAAATATTTATCTATACTTATCAATTGTCTAAAAAAAATTTGATAATAACAAATTTCTAGGCAAACTTTCATCCCCTATTTTTCGCGATAAAATGTAGCCTATGTCCTTTCTTAAAGTTAAGTCTATTTACTATATTAATTTCCATTTAGATGGGTTCAGTTGTTTAGGCGTCTAAGCGTAACAACACTTATTTATCTGACCTTAAGCTATCGATACTTTGAATACGATTCTAAAATCTAGCTAAGTATCGATACTAGAACCATACGCTGATCAAATTAGAACTTTACCGAGTTTGCCAAAGCATATGCAGTGATATATACCAACTATATTGAATCATCATATAAAATATAGCATTTTATAATCAACAATAAATATCGATTATAAGTTTATTGGAAATTAACAATATTGCCGAAATAAATATCGATTCAAATCGATCATTTTTTCCCAAGCCTATTCGTTATGAATTTTCCGGATCTCGGACACAGTAGTGCACAAGCGTAAACACGTTTTTCATTGCCGCCATCACGGAACTGAAAAAACCGGTCCGGAATAGAGAAAAGTAAAATTCCGGACGGTAAAATTCCTGACAGTGCACAAGCGCGCATTACCTACATATGGCCTGACATATCGGACCTGAAAAAATCGGACCACCGGACATGAAAATTCAGTGTAGTGCACAAGCGCCCTTAGAGAGATACATAAAATATCGATGCCTGTAGGTATCGAGTATTTTATAGTAATTTACTGATAATAGAATACTTTGCCGCTTCTACTGATAAGATGTGCCAAAAAGAAATACAGAAAAATTACTAAGCTTTTTAAAAAATCCAAGAATTAGGGAAAACGCTAGCAATTTAAAAAAAGAGCAACTTACATGGTTTTCTCATTTCTTGAACTTTACTATAATAATTCAAAATTACAAAGTCGATTTTGATGATATATAGTGTTCTCGAAGTTAAAAACTAATTTTAAAAAATCATCGGTATCTGATATCTAATTATCAAATGCCATGAATTTAGTGGACAGACATACTACATATGCATGTATAAAAAAAAAACAAAATTCTTTTTCGTACTAATGTCTCATCCATCTGTAGGTCGACAGGCTGTAAAGTGCGAGCCCTGACAACAAATATTAATGAGTCGTAAAATGTTAATGACAAAGAAAAAAACCAAAAAGAAAACCTTCAAATGTATCGATATGAAAGAAAAATGTTTCAATACTTTTAGCGAATCTTTACCTAATTTTATCACCCATCTCTACTCTATATAGCTACTATAATATTGTGATTGTATATCTATTTTCTTCTAGACTCGAAGTTTGTTTGTTATTTATAGAAGAGTTAATACACACCACTTGTAGCTCAATTTTTAAAGAAAACCAGAGCAGAGGAAAATAGAAAACGTAAAAAATACGCACTACGACTTCAATTTCTCTTTAAAATTATTATTTCAATTTACTCTAGGGATGCTCGATATTCATCGATGTTGAATAAACGATGTTGAATAAAGGGTATCTTGACATTTTATGAATAAAATGTCAAGATACCCTTTGGGCCATCTAACGTACTCCAGATGTACTAGCTAGATGATCTCGTATATCAAGTTCAACTTTTTTATACTAGATGCCACTGGTTGCACTCGTAACGCAAACAAATAGTTTTTTCTTTGCTTGCATTTTCCTAGGAAATTAGAAATATATCTGTCAACTTCAGCGCTCGTTAGTATCTTATAAGTTACTTTATTCACCGGTCTTAGTTTCAAAGATCCGTACATTAGATAATTCCACGTGCGAGTGCGGAATCCAAAAAGGCACCACTGATCCCATTTTCTTCAACTGTCTGAAACAACCTTCTTAATATGAGCAACTTCCGTGTAAAACCCCCCGTCCCATTAACCTAAATACTATCTTGTCTATTACTAACATACCTATCTGTTTGCGTCTTGAAAGCATATAAAAAAATATTACAATACACTAAAATCTACATGGCACTATCATATATTTATTTAATTTGTTAGTACAATTTGTGACGTTTGCCATGTGTTGTACTTTTAGAACAAGGGAGGAAGAAAACTATTAAAAACCGTAACTGAACAATTTCTCACTATCCCGCAAAATTTATGTGTAAAACGGAAAAAGGTCATTTATGTATATAAAAAAAAAAGTTACTTTATGCTCGTTGGGCTCGTTCTCTCTCCGTGAAGCTACCGCGTGATTTTTTATGACACTTGTCTTATTCCATTACTTTTATGTTAAGGGGTAGTATCCACCTATCCTACATTAAAAAAGATTGCATTAAAATATTTATGTTACACAGCGACTTCCACTGCTTCAGAGAGGCTTTTTTCTAAAGCTGGTCAATTCCTTTAATAATAATGCAATCAATGTTTCGGGAACATCGATGGTTTTCATCAAATGTTGACTTCGATGTCAATATCGATCATCCCTAATTTACTCTAAAGACAGTTGTTACTTATCGATTTGACATATTTACTGGCCTGTGACGTCACGATCAGCGCTATTACATAGAGCAGCGTTTTTCGCGCGCCTTTGGCTATTTAAATTTTAACAATTATTTTCACCAAAAATAGAAAAGATTCCAATGACATATTATGACAGTGTGTTTATAATGTAGCAAACAACGATTTAAAATAGTTTTCAGAAAAGTGTCAAATACCCTATTGAGATGAGAGGTAGCCTCCTCGATAGAATTCGAAGGAACTAAGCCATACAGCTAAATCTTGGGGAGACAATTTGACATGGTAGAGTTGTCAAATGAAGTTATTTGAATTTAAACTAATCTTCTTCAAACGTCCCTCCAAACGAATGTGAATAGTTGAAAAGGTTTCTTAAATGGTTCTTGAATCTTGAGTGAAAATATTTGGACAGTAAGCTCCGGATTATTTTAATACTTCCTTATTTGTGCTACCATCTAGTGACAGTAATTTTATTGTCTTTTCAATATTTCCTCTTGTGCTGGCTGCTGGCAACTTTTTGACTGACATTTTTTTTATACTTCCTCATACTTAAGTAGGGGTCGTAATACCGTACCATCTTTGCGAAACCGGTATTTTCGGTACTTACTCAAGATAAATCCCGATATTCCGGTATTTTCGGGATTTTAATAGAATCACCAATTATTATTGCATCTTCTTACATGTAATGTAACTTTAGAAGTTACTTAGGTACAAGAAGTGCAGAGAAATGGCAAATTATTATTTTCTAACTAAAACTATTTTTATTCAACTAGATAATTTATTTAATTTCAAGTTATGGACGTAATTATTATAAACAACAACACCTAGACGTATACTTACCTACTCAAATGCAAAAAGCCAAATTTCTTTCCGTCTGCGTTTTGCTTAATCGTTTTTTGGAATAAACCGTATCTGAGATCTTGGTCAAACTTACTCTATATGAGTAGATAGCAAGAATAGGACTATAAAAAATTGAATAGGTAGGATTTACATCAGCATGTGTATGAACACACCAAAACTTAGTAATTTCGGGGGTAGATACTCATCGCGCGTAGATTACGTCGTACCCCGCTACATAAAACCTTTGGATCTCTCACGGTGGCTTGAATTAAATCGCCCGCAACTTTGTTTTATTATAATAAAAACCGAAAATACGGGTTTTTTGAAATCAAAGCTGGCATTTTTAAGAACTTTATTTGGTCCGGTATCCGGGATCCCGGTTTGTGACCCCTATTCTTAACCCATCAAAATCAGGACTAATAAGGATTAATAGCTGAGTAACGTCTTTCAGAGATAAACGAGATTTTTCATTAACGTTAAATTAAAATATCTATATTTCTGATTGTTTCTCTATATTATCTAAAATATTGTTTTATTCGAAATTGCCACTTATTTTTAAGAATACGTAAACAATTACAAAAACAGACAAATTAAGACTTTAAAAAATCTTTAGCATATGAAAAATGCTATACAAGATGTTATTTATCATAATAAATGGTATCTTTTTTTACGATTTTTTGAAGTCATTAATATCTTTTAAATTTTTTAACAACTTGAATAGTGACGTAATAAAGAAAGGCAATATATCATACAATTTTATTGGTATCATACAATTTAATACAATAACTTAACATTATAAAATGTAACAAAATCTTTGTTCAGCAACAATATAAAATAAAACAAAAATATTTGAATTTCTATCTTTAATATTATGTTATCACCATCATAATCTAGATTTACCTACTACAGATGACAAATATTTTACATTTACGCATTTACATAGATTACAAGCCATTTAATTATAAATGTTCTTTACATAGCCCTTGGATTAAACAGTAATTTGGCATTCAAAAATATTTATAAAATAATTGCATAATTATCAAACTAATCAATAGAACAAAAACATAGTTAACATAGTTACATCATGTTTAGATTTGTGACAATTCCTATTTTCCAAGATCTAAGTAAAGACCACTACCAAAATGGGAGTTACAGTAAATTAATGAATACAATAATAGCTATGTGATGTTGAAATGACCAAATAGATTATATTACACATAGTATTTACCAAGTAAAATCACTTTTTTTTTAATTATTTTCCATATAGTTTTGACCCAACTCATTTTATAATTTATAGATACCTCTAACAGCAGCACTTCAGGTAACAATATCTATGTCAAATAGTTGTTTTTCTACACCCAATGCAATAAGATTTCAAATCAACTATTAGATATTATAAATTCACAATCGAGAATTTTTCTCTGTTAATATAATCTCTTTCGCCAAGGTGAAATGATAAATTAGGCTATCCTAACTTTAAACTTGGTATATAGATTTATCTTTAATAATATAAAATTCTTATATCCACCAAAGCTACAAGACAATCATTTTGGTTTCAAAATTGTAATAAATTCTAAAAGGTGCCTTATGGTTGCATACTCTTTTCATAAATTAATGTGAAAATAGCCAGTCATTTAAATAAATAAATCTCTCCAGTAAAAAATGTTTTTCTTTCAGTCAAAACTTATTAGTTCTGCTGTATTATTATTATGTTCGGACTTGACAGGTGTTTGGGATTGTTGTGGCGCAGGGCCTGATTGTCCATTAAAATTAGGTTGAGTTTTCATTGGTTGCCCTTGGGGTATTGGTTGTCCTTGAGGCATTGGTTGTCCTTGAGGCATCGGTTGTCCTTGAGGCATTGGTTGTCCTTGAGGCATCGGTTGACCTTGCGGCATCGGTTGAGCTTGCGGCATTGGTTGACCTTGCGGCATTGTTTGGCCTTGCTGCACAGATTGTCCAGGCATCGCTTGCCCTTGCTGAATTGGTTGACCCTGGGGTATTTGTTGTCCATGTGTCATTTGACCTTGAGTTATTTGGGAAATATTCATCTGCGGTCCCTGACCAGGCATTTGCTGTGGTAAATTTTGTTGTCCATGCATCATCGTTGGACCTTGCTGTCCAGGCATTTGATTCTGAGGCAATTGATTTAGCTGACCTTGGTGTGGAATGTTTGGGCTATGTATCATCTGTTGTCCGTGCATCATAATTTGTTGTCCAGGCGGTTGCATAGGTTGTCCAGGCATCGTCATCGTTTGGCCTTGACTAACACCTTGCTGTTGAGATTGTGATAAAGGCACCTGAGATCCTTGATTAGGAGCACCTTGATTTGAAGTAGGAATGTGGCTAGAAACAGTCATATTTGGGTTTTGTCCGGGTAGCGTCGGTCCCGTCATCATCTGTTGTCCAGGCAAAGACATCTGTTGAGCAGTTACAGGAACAGGTTGTTGCATATTTGGTACTTGCTGAACAGTCTGGGTGTTCGGTTGGTTCGGCATACTCGAATAACCGGAAATAGGCACTTGTTGGTTAGCATTCGGTTGACCTTGCATCATTGACATTCTCATATTTTGCATTTGCATTCCGATCATAGGGTTCGAATTCATAAGTGGTTGTGCCATATTTTGCTGGCCGGTCGACATAGCAGGCATCATATTATTAGGCTGTGGCTGGTTTGGTAGATTCTTCGTCATTTGTGCAGTTTGACCGTTCTGTTGCAAATTCTGGCCAGGCATACCATTAGGGATGTTCTGCATCATCATTTGGTGTCCTGACTGCATAGGCATACGCATCTGATGCATCTGTTGCATCATCATCTGTTGTTGGAGGGGTGTTTGCTGCCCTATAATCGGACGGACAGGGGGTTGAGTCATTGATTGCTGTTGATTGACTGGTGCTTGACTGATAGCAACACCGGAGGTGGACATAGCAAAAGTATTAGTCATCTGAGGCATAGATTGAGAGATCATAGGGTTGATTGACATGTTTGCTTGCGACATCTGCGGTTGACCGGCCATGGGGATAGTGTTATCTGTAGTTGATTGCGTCATCATCTGTGGGTGGAACTGTGGATTCGCGTACAGCGGTTGATTAGGGAAACCAGGTTGATATTGGGGCATTGTGACACCAGGCATGTAATAACCTCCACTAGTGGACATCATGTACTGGTGCTTTTGTTGTTCTTGACGCATTTGCATCTCTCTTTCTTGTTCCTGAAACAGTGTGGAATTATATTTATCACTTTTTATACCGAAGTCAGACCGATAATTCCAGATGTGATGAAAACAATTGAAGACTTTGTGTAACGGCTTGTTGTTGTGAAATATTTTAACTTTGTAGTGTGAAACTGTTCAAAGTATCTAACAATCTCTAATAGGACGTTACTGTATTATAGCATATGTAGTAAAAAAAAAAAATTATAAACATTAAATTAATGTCATTCACATAGTAGCTAGCAGAGAGTTAAGTAGTAGTGAGTATAGGAGTAATTTAATATTGTTGATTTAAAGACTGTAATTTCCAATAAGACATAAAATTAATCCAATAAGACATCATTCAACAAAAATATGCTAGTACCTACTGAGCAAATCTCTATACTAATATTATGAAGCTTAAGAGCTTGTTTGTTTGGTTAAACGCACTAATATCAGGAACTTCTGGTTCGTCCTTGTTTTTGTGTGCTGATAACTCCATTTATTGAAGAAAGCTATAGGTTATATAACATCACGCTATGACTTATAAGATTGGATCAGCTTTAAAAAATGTTGCAAAACCATAAAGCCGCTGACAGAAAGTTAGTATTGAATATTTCTTTACCTGCACCCTTTGGAGTGCCAATTGTCTCTGATACTGTAGGTACTCGTGTTTCTTCTTCCTCATGGCCTGCAGTTTTGCTGCCATTTGCATCTGTCTCTGTCTCTCAGCCGCCTCCGCCTGAGCGGCGAGTCGTGCCGCGTGTTCCGCCCTCAATGTATCTAACGCAGCGCGACTGTCGCGAACTTGGGTCACTTTATCCTAAAACAAATAATATGGTCTATAAAATGAAAGAATACGGGTGTAGACAAGTTTTTCGTATTTTTATTTTACAAATATACACGAAATCTTAAAAAAAAAGAAAAAAATTTCATTCGTATAAGAAGTTAAACCCTAAAAATAATCTACATATAAACGAATTTCGTTCTGTGTATTTTGCGATTGAATTCTCTAAGTTCTGATATGAGCAAGAGGGGCGTGACGTTACGTGCTGTTTGCGGTTAGTTACTTTAAAAGTTAGTTACTGTAAAATATTTGCTTTTTCATAATTATGAAAGTTTTTTAGTTAGAATTAGTTTAAGCAATATTATAAATATAATAAGCATAAAAGTATGATTATCGGTAAAGTTTTTTCGTTTACTGTCTACATCTGTATCTGCTAAAATGAATCTGGTGAAAGGATGGTAGTGGTGGACGTTACTTTAATAATAAGAATTGTGACACTGTAAAATTACCAGTTTTATCATATGAATTAAAATATACACATAAATGATATCCAAACGTATACTTAATTTGAAATTTAATATTTATTCAAATATGTATTTACATATGCACATTCATTAAAAACTCAACTGGTTGATAAATTAATTAGGTATTTACGCTCATATGAAATGCGTTTTAAGTCTCTATCATGGATTTTCATGGTTGTCGGAAAATATTTGGACTGTAATTGTACATCGCGACCTTTTCCTTTATATACTTAAAATGATCAATAATAGTTTTAAATTAACTGTTTATTTAAAACTATTGAATATGGTCTAGAGATATAATTGTAAAATACCTGCAAGCTCTCCAAGTACACACGTTTATCGTCCTGCTGTTGTATATAGCGAAGTAATCGGGAATGCATAGCTGTAATGTTCATAAACAACGTCTGCACCGACGTATCATTAGCGATCGATCGGCCTCTGAAATTAAAAGTTATATCCCCCTAATATTATAAATATGAAAGTGAAAGAAACGTAATATCAAGTTCTGCGCCAGTTGGAAATAGGTGTAATGTTACCAGTGGTGGTAATATGATCTTGTAAAATTTCAGAATCAAAATGTAGAGCAATAATAGGGAATATGCACATTTATTATGATTATACACATATGATTAATATACATCGTTATATAAAAATAACCGGCATCGAAAAACTAAAATTTATTAACTATAATGATTGATGAAAGTAAGTAACAACTACGAGCGCTTTAAACGACGGAATTTTTAGCGCTCTTGTAGTGACGTCAAAGTACGCGACTAGAGATATGACATTTTAAATCAATATCGATTGCGAGTGATTAATTATTATTCAATTACCTAAGTCGATTAAAAACTAATATATTTTAAAAGTTTAATAGACTTTTTTCATAATCGTATAGTTTACCAAATTGATGAAATAAAAATAAAAGCCTAAACATCACTTAAATTATAATCTGTTGTTTATTTTGCGTCATAATACATTGATGTTATTGCATCGATGTTAACTTTTTGTAAGAACGACGTCTATATACCCGTACATTGTCGTCACACCCGCTCTAACAAAAAGCATGGCGTTTGAATATTTTGAAGTTACCACATTTTTTTGCGCTTTTTCAATAATTATTTACAATACGAAATCAATTTTTTATTCACTATGCTATACTGAAAAATATTCTTGCACCAAGTTTCTATCTATTTATTATACTATTCTTAAACTTAAACCTGCCCTTCTTATACTTATTTGTCGGAGAGTATATACTTTCATTACTCCCTAAGGTTAGAATAGATTTTTATTGTTTTAACTTAAAAATAAAATCCTTGGATTAGGGGAATATCAATATTATTATAACATATGGAAAGTACATAAAATAGCTCTACTCACTCCGATCTATGATTATAATATAGAGAAGTTAAAAAAACAGCAACAAATATTTTTACTCCTATTCAAACATGTTCAAAATATGAAAGGGACAAAACATACCGTGATGAATTACTCTTCATCCTATTCACAAATATTTCCACTTGTGATTTCAAAGTCTCTACAAACTCGTCGATTTCTTTGTCTTCCGCATCATCTTCCTGAGTTTTATTGGTGGTGGTGGCTTTGGTGAAATCCTAAAAATATATATATTCATAAATGTGCTTATATATTTAATTCGTTTGCATGTTTAATAATTAGTTTAATATTTTAGAAAATCTAGTTTAAATCTGATCTTAATTATTTGATAGATCGATACTAAAATAATAATAAAAAATACCATAAACTTGTAGTGAGACAGAACAGCAATTGCAAAAGTTATTTTAGAAAATTTTATTGATATTCTAGGATTTTCACAGAATATTGAATTTTGTAAATAGACTGACTATACATTTAAGGTGGTTAACGTTGCAACGAAAATCATCAACTACATAATTCAGTAATAAAGAAAAGATCAAGAGACCAATTTAGAAAATATATTTTATTAATTCTCGATATAAATAACAATCGAATTAAAAGAAAAAAAAAAACAAATTTTTTTTGCTGCCAATATTTAAAGGACAGCCATGAAGTTGTTAGCTTATTTGATCCTATTCTTATTATGGCTGGTTTACACGTGATTAAGAAGACAATTAATAAGTAGATTTTTAACTTAATGTTAAGTGATTAATTACGTATAAACAAACAAATAAGTGAAAATCAGCAAACAAAAATGTAATTCTAATTAAGCTCATATGTAATTAACACATTTTAACTTGTTTTTACACATACTTAATCACTTAACATTAAGTTAAAACCTGTCATCAGGGTCGCATAGTAAGAGTGAATATTAAAAATGGTATTAAGTCCACCAATTGTGCAATGATGTTTAAATAAATAAATATACATGGTCACCTCATTAATGTCATGCGAGGCGTGCGACGCTAAAGCGGGTGCGGGCGCAGTGGGTGCCGCTGCGGGCTCCCTGGACAATCTCTGTTCCCAATAGCTGCGGTCCAAGTAACGCGACAGCTCCGCATTGCCCTGCGTGCTGTGATCCGGCGACGCGCTCACCGACGACGGAGTTGGCGACACTGCGCGTAACACACACATTGTTTAATTAGAGCCGATTGCACATAAATCTGAGGGATATTAAGGATACTGCGCGTAATACACACATTGATTAATAGGGATGACCACTGGGTAAAAAAATGCAATTCTATTTAGTCCGTAAGTCAAATAGAAAAATATTAGATACGTATTTTTTTTACTTCAATTTAACAAGAAATAGCTTAGATAACAGGCAATAAAGTTGAGGAGTGGGGGCTCGCTACGTCACAGTTGAGTAGAAGACGTACCATAACGTGACGTCATGCGAAAGTTCAACTCCATGTGACGCCGTAATTTTATGATTACGAAAAATAATGTGTTTAATATTTTTTAACACTCTACCTGACGGACAAACAAACAAAAATTAGTCATCATCCTTATTAGAGCCGATAGCAGATCAATCGGACGGATATTAAGAAATGACAAAACATCTTTTCAATATATGTAGCAGAGTGGTTTGGACGCCGGTTTCGCCGGTGTTGCCACCTCTGAAGTTCTGGGTTCGATTACCGGTCGAGTTTATATAGAAAATTAACTTTTCTTTATTATCTCGGGTCTGGGTGTTGTGCTACCTTCGCTGTCTCAGATACTCCATAATACGGGGAATTTAGCTACTCATCATGGAATCTGAACAATGTATGTGATGTTATTTAATATTTATTTATGTAGTATGTTTGTCAAGCCAAACAAAAAACCAAACAGAATGTGTGACATCAACTTTGTGGGTAAATAAATATTTAAGAATCTATGAAAAGTGCGGGAATCGTTCAAAGTTTCGTTGTTAGTTTTTCGTTCCTATCGATAAGGCAAATTACATCCTACACTACACTACATAAATTGCTGTGACTTATTTTATTTATTTATGTGACTTCTTTTGAATAAGACTTATTTTTAACAGACTTAAAAAATGAGTTTTTCAGTTTGACCTGTATGTATGTATGTTTGTGGGCGATTATCTCGCGTTTGAATCGATTCCGATGAGATTTTCTGCATAGTATTTATCGGACTTAGGAGAACGTTTAAGGTATATTTACCGACAAAAAAATGGGAATTCACACTTTAACACGGTTTTCAGAAAAGTATTTTTAGTCTTGCCTATTAAATAAAAAATATCAATTTAACTAAAAAGCGTGAAATAAAACTTTCTTTTTTAAATTGAACCGACTTTCTTAAATAAAAAAAGTGGAAACTAATACTTATCTAAAAAGCGACTTATTCAAGAAAATGCTATTGAAGTCGGGCGCCTATCATTTAATTAATACCTACAGAAAAGTAGCCTTTCAGATAAGTATTATTTTTCACTTTTTAAGTTTGAACATACGTTCTATATTTTTTATATACAAACGTGTTATATGTTACAAAAAATATGCCGTTCGGAAATTCTTACAATTTGGATGGAGTGACGTTTCTGGGGCGATGTGTGAACGAGACTTGCGCTCCTTTTCCTTTTGTTCTGCTTCAGATTGACTGAGCGCAAGGGCTAACTGTAACTCTTCTTCCTCCTGAAGCTCTTCAGCAGACTTACCGGGTGGACGCTTCTATTATACAGAATTATCATTAGCATTATATGTAGGTATAGACATTAGGAACAATTATGTTTTATAAAAGAAACATTTATTTGGGACAAGTAAAGACAACAGAACGTCGGGTTATATAAACATATCTTTTCCAACTCAATTTTAAATCTTAATACCTATTGAAGAAATTTGTCATGTTGTGGTTTCATGATATGCAGCACTGTGTTTATAAATTGTGGTTTGCTTCTTGACAATCAATAAGATATAAAAAGAATTGTCTGAAACGATATGATGTATTATTTTACTACTAGACCCAAGCTATGGTAGAAATTCACTCAAAAATTGATGCAAATTAGCAATTTTCATTAAAAGGGTTACAAAATGTTAGCTTCACATATTAAATACAAATTATTCTCAATAAAATTATCAAATAATATTGTTAACGAAAAATTGAGACTCAACACTGTTGTGTTAAAATACTTTATTCTAGTCTCTGAATACCACAACATAAATATTTGTAAGCGCAAAATTTCTCATCATTACGAATTGAAAGTAAAAATTATTTATTGGTTTAGTTAGTCTGATATTCTAACTACCATAAAATATATACTTTGTTTTACAGTATTAAAAAGGAAGTGTATTTTTAAGTCCACTATTGTTGTAGATTATATTGAGAGAAATATTTAAGATAAAATAAACATATTTACTATTAAAATAGTGTATTTATTATGAACATAATTACAGTCAAAAATTCTAAAACCCTTTATTAGGTACCTAATTTTATCAAGTTCTCACGTAAAAATGTTATTACATAATGCAAAAACTACAAACAAATGGTGTATTTAAAATTTCATAAAAATAATATTTATGTAAGCTACATTTATTATTCAAAATTCTAATTATTTTTCAATCTTCTCACAAACTTAGGAGTTTCAGGTACAGTGATTGGTATAACAGACTTTTCAGGAATAAATGGTGTAGGTATAGGAGCTGGTTTCGCATGATGGACTAATTTTGCTCTCAATTCCGCTTGAAGTTTCTCTTCAGCTTCCTGTTGTTCTTTCTCATGTTGATGCTTCAGCCTCTCTTGTTCTTCCTCCTTTTCTTTTAGAAGTCTATCAAATTTTTCTCTCTCTACTGCTCTTTTTTGTGTAGTCAAGTCAAAAGGTACAGGTTTAACAAGTTGTAGGGGCTGAAGAACTGGTTTGAAAGGCTCTTTGTATAAAACAGTTGGAGGACGAGCCTCAAATTTCACAATATTTTCTTTATTCTCTGAAGATGTAGTAGAAGAACAGCCTTTCGTAAGTACTCTATGCATTTGTTTTTTAACAGCACCAGGCAGTGGATGTGCTTTAAATTGTGATGCCTGTTTCTTTTCTTCTTCAATCTGACGTTTAACCCATTCATCCTTTCGTCGTTTCAGCTCCTCATCTCTCTTTTGAAATGAAAACGGTTCAGGTTTTAGAGGACCGTGCCTTTGTAGTTTTACAGAAGATTTTTGCATTACATCAGCAGAATGTATGCGCTCACATTTCACTTGGTCAACATTATTACTTCGTTTATAATGAAATTTAGGGCTAGTAGGTTTAGTTATTTGCACTGGTGGTTTTGTCATAATCGGTGCCTTTTCCAGTATGTGTTTAGGAGCTGGGCGCGCTTTAAATTTCTGACAATGTTCAGGTGATTGTACAACTTTCTTTGGTAATTCTGTTAATTTAAAAGGCTCCGGAATTGTTACAGGTTTTTTATGTACATCTGGTAAATGTATTGGCCCTTCAATAACAGACTTAGGAATAGGATGTGCTTTAATTTTAAATTTTTTCAATTCTTCAAGCTCCAGTTCTTCTTTTTCTTGCTGAGACATTACATAGACTGGACGAGCGCGTGCCTTGCTTCGGAGCGTAGGTGATTGTGGTACAGTAAGCCCAGGTCGACTTGATGAATTTAGAGACTTAAATAATCGTGGTTTCGTAGAATGAAATCGGCCAGGTGTATCTCTTTGGTAGTGATAAATTGCTTCTGCCATCGACACAAATTTGGTTTTAGATAATTCCTGAGGTGCTCCAAAAGGTTTTCTGTAACTTTCGTACATATCATCGTTATCATTGAACTCCAATTTCACCATATCTTTCCGAAGAGCGGAAATATCGCTCATTGATAAAGACTTTCTCATAGATCCATACTCATTCTCAAATGATTTTTCTAATAAATTGTGATCACCGAAATCTTCATCAATGGGTGTATGTGGTTCCTCTTTTATGTATATTTTGTCATTAGGTGTAATAAAACATTCACCACGAAAGTTCGTCACGTTATTTTTAGCCATATCTGTAATAAATGAACTTCTTCCAAAATAAATGAACTGAAGCACAATACAAAATAAAACCTCTTCGATTGTTGTCGCTAGCGTTCAAAACGTTGTCGTTATTTTGAATTAATTTCTTTGAACGTCTCATAAAACAAAATGTCAAAACGAGTATAGTTGTTGTCATAATTGAGAAGGCAAGTGAATTTATTGTCATACAGCCATACTTACATCGTATGTTTTATGTCCAAACTCGAAAATAATACTAAAATTTGTTGATATAATAATTTAGACAAATCGATAAATGAGCAAGAATAATATTTAAGTTTTTACTTCAATAATGATAATTTAATAACTTAAGAGAACATAAAGAGTAATATTACAATTATGGCTGTAAGATTAAAATCCCGTAGCACACTTGGATAAAAAAAGTCCGTAAGTATTTTTTGTTTATAAACGTGTTTCTACAAATAGTTACGAATCACTATATTCCACAACAAAATAAAATATATACCTACTCAAAGGACAATTGTTAACAACTAATAGAGTTCCCTACTAGAAAATGGCACAAGCCACACTACCTAATCCAAATACATTGTTACCATTGGAACTTGTCGACAAGTGCATAGGTTCACGTATTCACATTATAATGAAAAATGATAAAGAAATGGTGGGGACGTTACAAGGATTTGACGATTTTGTCAATATGTTATTAGACGACGTCACCGAATATGAATCAACACCAGAAGGAAGGAAAATCACAAAGTTGGATCAAATTTTATTGAATGGAAACAACATAGCAATGTTGGTGCCGGGCGGAGAAATGCCTGGAGAAGCATATGATGGATAATAAATTTGTACAAGTGTATTTTAAGTTGGTATAAGTGTTAAATATATTTTGTTCTACAACTATGCATTTTTTATTAACCTAACAAAAATCTAATACCTATAGTAAACACAACTGCTATAATTTATTTCCACAATATTAACTACCAGCTTTAGTAAATAAAGTATCACTTCTTATTCACTGCAAAAATGCTACCAAGTTGTTACCAAATCTCACTTATCAAATATTTTTTAATATTTTGAGTTCTTATTACTTTTTTGTTTTATTGTTTTATTCATATACAATATTAGACAATTTGTTTGCATTTAAGTTGATAAATTGGTATAGGTTAAACTTACCTGAGGTTGGGTAGGCCCATAGTCATTGGATGTATCAACAATTTCCAATTTAGCAGTTGATGTAGGAGGACGACTTACTTTGTCAAAGCAAGCATCACATACACGAACCTAAGAAATGAAATCTTAAAATAAATACAAAGTACTCGCTGCATTGAAAACATTGAACTAATATATGTTATCTTTCACATTTTTTCAATAACACCTAAATAATTTCATAGTGATTTGCAGTTTGTGGCCCCTATAAAACAGGTTGAATACAACTGTATATGTAGTTGCAAGGAATTAATCCTGTTACACAACAAAATTAACATAAAGTATTTTATTAAAAAGATGAAGCACCTCTTTTTCAATTCCAAATTTAGGCAAGGTTGATGTTTTAGAACTACATTGCTGGCAGAAAACTTGTCCACAGGCTCGGCAGTGGTGACGACGAACCATCAAGGAGAATGCTACACGGCATCTGTATCCAAAAATGTTTCTTTATAAGTTATTTTAAAAAAACTTAATGGGATTAACAATTTCACTAAAGTATATTAAAAATTGTATATTCAACAATTAATTGAATGAAAACAAACCTGTGGCACACTTCTCCATCTGCCCATTCTGGTGCAGTATCAGCAGAAAACATTGCATCAGATTCTTTCAAGGTTGGGAATTTGTATCCTTCTGCTTTCAATATGTTCACAGTATCCTTTTCAATCACAAAAAATCAATAATTCACAAACTGAACAGCCTGTTAATATACAGTGAACAAAAATTCTATATTTAAACAAAGCATTATGCCATCTTTACTTTATTGTTTTGCACGATTCACTGCTGTTATCAATGATGATAGGCATTATGATAAAAAATAAGTTTTATAAATATCTCCGCTAATGTTAGAAGTACAGAACAAAAAGTTTAGACAGTCTCATTAAATGATAATGATAAGTTCTATAGAAATGACCTCTAATTAGAGGACAAAAGACAAAACTTTTAAAAAACCTTTGGTTAGATACTTAAATATAAATAACATGCCTATATGTATTAATTAATGTCTAGGCCATTGACATTAAACGTAAACAGAATAATAAATTCACAGTACTTAATGAAATGTAGGTACTCAACTGGACATTTAGCACAATTAGTTGTATATTCTTGAATCATGGACTTCACTCATGCTCACTGTTATCATACAAGTGTGTAAATTTCTACTCAATAAAGTCTAATTAAATTAATGGATAGCAAAATCAATAAGTATGACACTAGTGTTGTTGGTGTAAGCTTAGATGTTGTCAGTATTATAATTCTGTCTCGCCTATTCAACCTTGAGTTAAGATACACAATAACAGTTCAATGAACCGTGAACATTGCTTTGGAATTTTAATGTGAATGTCTCTTTTTAACATTAAAAGAATATGACAACTGAAGTTGAAAACTGATATCAACAAATATTTAAATAAGTAAAGATTTAGTGTGTTATACATGGAAATAATCTTTCCAAGAAAAGCCTTTAAATCACTACTATGGGTCTGTGTGAATTTATGGGAATTAGTTATTGCAGATGTACTGAGAATCCTATAACTTTAAGAAAGTTTGTTTAGTTATTTACTTAATTTCTATGAAAAAAAAAATAAACAAACACAAAAGAATGCACAATGACCACTTTACCAATCACATTATTAAGAGCTAATCATTTAATTAGTATAAGGTTTGGTTATAGTTCACAACCTAATTTTTCATCATTATACATGACTGGCATAAGAGTATTTTATTCACCAATATTAGGACATACCTGTACCGATCTGTACTTAGGAGTATTGCGAAAAGCAAAAGCCCAAGCCTGTATAAGCTCAAGAATCTTGTTTCGCAGATTTTCATGCTGTGTAGATTTTACCAGTTCACGCAACATCTCACAGAAAGCTTTTGATGTAACTTCATCATGTACACCAGAGCCTACAACAAATAAATTGCTACCATTATGAGCCTATCAAGTTACCACAGCCACAGCTTCCCTATATAGAAAAACACAAGAACTGAGACTTAATAATAATGGTATCTCAATGGCAACTCGATCAATGGCATTTCGTCAATGCAGTATCTTTTTCATAGTTTCAGTTTTTTACTTTATAATTTAGTTAGATGGTATTGAAAACATTGCTAATTATGCTAATGCTAGCAAAAATAGGTCCTAGGCCATAATCCACCACCCTACTTCACTGGCACTAGCATTGGTAATTGCTAACAGCACAGATTCAATAGGAATAAGTTTAAAAGCCCTTTTAGTTTAGGGGAATTAAGTCACACTAAATCTTCTGTTTGCATCTAATAACCATCTTTGTGAATGGTGATTGAACCACAGACCACTTGACCACTATATTCTAGAACTCCTCTATAACATTATAAATATATTTGTCTAATTAGTAGTAATTGGTCTTCCAAATAACTATAATGTGATAATATTGAGTAGTTTAATTAATGGGATGTTGTCTAATGCCTTTAAATGGATGATTCATAATATACTTGTAGGATATGAAATTGTTAGTAGTTATATTTTTAATCTTTTTTATATCTATAGATATCTTGACAATTATTATTATCCTCTTACACATTTATCAATAAATGGACATGTTTGAAGTAATAGTCACTTTATTTTAAGAACCAACAAGCACAAATAATACATACCACAATTTTTCACTATACTTTCTAAGGTGAGTAATGCAAACATTGCCTGATGTGGGTTTTGTGAATAAAGTTTCTTTTTTATTGCAGCCACAGCATATTTAGGTCTAAAAAATACAAGATATTAAGTACCACTGTTTGTTTATACCATTTATTTATCTGCTATGGTTACAATTTATGATTAAATACTTACGAGCAATCATTTTGTCTAATAAGATCACAAATTTGCAATATTGTGGGCCAATCTGGATCTAGACGTAGATTACTTGTAGCTTTATCTAGAACACACAGGATAACAGTAAATTAATTACAGAATATATATGCATGGACAGGGATAATTAGGAGAAATGCATTATCATAATATACACAAACGACTATTGGAACGATAAATAGAAAACTGTAGAAAGTCAATGTAAATCAGTAAAATGCAATCTGATTACAAATAATGCAATGAATATCTATTATTTTTTTATATAATGCTAGAAGTGAATAGATTACTAAAACAAACTTACCAAGTAATTTATCAAAGTTGTTAGCTCGAAACATGTTTTCCTGTTGATAACAAACTATTGTTATTAAAAAATTCAACAATTGATTGATTCACTGAATAGAAAAATGACAGCACACTTTTGTCAATTTTGTTAATATTTTATTACATGTTGGCGACACTGCTCTTGCGTCACACGAATACTATATTTTTTTTTTATTTATTCTGGCTTGGAACCTAGTCTTTTAATAACATAAAAAAAATGTAATAATGTTTCCATAATAAATAAACTTTCACCGAGCACATCATCAACTTGAGCATATTATTGATTAATAACGGAACGAAAAAAAAACAAAACCTTTTTCAATTTTTCACTAAAAGAGGAAATATTTAAAAAAAAAGCACTAAAAAGCACCTCCACTAGATGGCGATTCTAACAAAAGTTGATTTTTGCAGGAAACGAATGGACCAAATACAGTTATTTCCGTTTCTTTTAACTAATATATTAAAAAACTGAAATTTGCAAAGTTCAAAACTTAGAGTCCCCAAGATTTGGCTGTATGGCTTAGTTCCTTCGCTTGTCCCATGGACGTATTACAATACTACTTAAAACTTAGATATCAATACAAATACAAAAAATGACAAATAGATATGAGATGTTTATTGAATTTTGAAAACTAATTTACTTTTATACATGTTTTTTTAAATACTTCCTCATTGATCTAAGAAAAGGGTCCGATTTTTATGCCATACATTAGAATCTCTATACGTGACATGGAGTTTATGATGCATGTAATTGATTGATCCTAGAATACATTTTTAGGGTGCGTACAGATTAAGAGAATGAATGGTCAACGAAGGATAGCAAAGTTAAAAAAATACCGTTAAATAAATAATTATAAATACGCAAGTCTAAGATGAAAGACCATGTAGGTATTGAAAAAAAACTGGCAATAAATTTAACAAATCAGTTTTCTGAGTACGATGTCAAAAGCACGATGTACGATGTCACTATAAATAGGTAGTCAATATTAAGTGTAGTACAAAGTTATTCTATTAGAGGTAAATAATTTTTACCATGTTTGGAGTCCTATTATTTCCAATATCCCAAATACATTTATTTGAAGGGAAAGCATAGGAACAAGCATTTGACAATGCAAATAGAGGTCTTTACTTGGTCGTTCAATTATTAAAATCCAATCTCATATCATTAAACATTTTGAAAACAAATGACGTATGCTTCACAATTAATAAGACAACTCAACCGAGTGGTGATTTTAAATTAAAAATACATAAATGCAATAACTACCATACTTTAAATTGTAGTTGCACGGCTATCGATAAAATAGAATCTGTTAAATATTTGGCTGTCTTTAAAACAGTAAGAAACTTGTTGAAATAAATCACATTAGAATTTACAATTCTTTACATGCAATTATGAACACTTCGCTTTAAACCTATGAAAGAAATGTTTAAAATATCAATATCCTTGAACTATTTATTGATTTAATCTAGTGAGCGAGCTAGGAAGCAATTTTTGGTATAGTTTTTGTGAAGTTCTGGCGGCACAAAGGTATAAAGATCACGATCTTGACAAAATGGTAGACGTCTCTTCATTTTAAAGTAGAGTTTAATTAAAATGTGAGACTATCTATGATACCAATTTTATTAACAACAATTTTATATAAAAACACTAAATCAATTTTTTTGCACCTATCACAAAGGCTAAAGGTTAGATCGGTTAGACTTTCAATATATGGTTTTTGGATATTACAGCGGAAATTTAATATCTAAATATATATTTTTTTAATTTTTCAAAGTTTTTCAATAGAGTTTTTATAAAAAGGGCACCATCAACACAGCCAAAATCAATTATAGATCTAACGTAGGAGAAATAAAGTATTTTTAAAGTTTTAGTGTCTTTGAATGGTTTAGTTATCTCTATTAATGAAACCTAAGTTTTTAAAGGCACGTTTTCTAATTGTTTCCATGTAAAAGATAATTCATCATCTATAACAATTCCCAAATCTTTAATATGTTTTACGCGTTTTAGAGTATCCTGGCCGAGACAGCATTTGTAATTAATTGGTTTCTTTTTTCTTATGAAAAGTTGATTCTCGGTGTAATATTTGGAGAGTGCTTTCAGATCGTCTTGTAAATTTTTGCAATCTTCAATAGATTTTACAATGATGTGTACAACGAAGAACATTATCCATGTCGTTTATGTACATCGTGAAGAGGAGCGTGCCAAGGTGCGAGCCTTGAGGCACACCGGAGGGTACCTGTAAAGTACCTGATCCAAACCCCTTTAATTTTTTTTTATGGTATAGGGCAGTCGAGCTGATGGATCACCTGATGGTGAGTGATTACCGTCGCTCATGGACACCTGCAACACCAGAGGAGCTACAAGCGCGCTGCCGGCCTTTGAGGGACGAATATGCACTACGCTTGAGCGTTTGAAGGTCGTATCGGTCCGAAAATACCGCTGGCGACAAACTGTTCCAGAGTTTTATTAGGGTAAATATGAATTTTATTATGTGGAGCCAGGTGTTCGTTCACAAATACAGAGTTGGTAGGTCCGTCGATTCCAAGGTCAGCGATGGACAAACTTCGATGCGCTTGCACTGCAGCCAAAAAAGCACTTTTTATTTTCCGTTGTGTGAATCTAATGATGATATTTAGTATTTCTGATTTTAGTTTGGTCTGGTCGCGATTTTTATTTTCAAAATTTTCTTGAGGGTAGCGCCTGACGCGATGCACAAAGTTGATATCCGATATGGATAATATAAACCCTATTTTATTATGGTGTCGAGTAATTCACGTCTATGAGTTAATACATGTTACGGAAGAGAGGGTCTTCCTGACACAGGCATCTTATTATGTCTACTGGATGGACCAACTACTACGATATGTACCCTTTAAAATTAGAATGAATAAACATTTTTGATTTTTTTCTCGCTCATTTTCTAGTTTCTATAACCTCTAACCAGGGATTCCCAAACTTATTTTGTCTACTGCCCACTTTCAGAAAAAAATATTTTTAAATATTAATTTTAAAAGAGACTTTTACTATATCTCGCAAAATTAACTTGAAACCGGAGCGCAGTACGTAATACACAAAGGCGCTCAGTTCTCAAGTTAACTCTTACGGGCTACACTTGCCAATGAAAATGATTATTGAAACGCAACTATATAATATTCAAACAGAGTATCTTTTTTCAAAATACACACATCAACATCGTCTAGGGATATTTTGTATAAAGTTCTAAATTCAAAAAATACTGGCCGGTTTTAAAAATCTTTTGATGAAAACTTATTTTGTGCGCCTTTTTTGCTGATTTCAAATTTGAATTTCAAACAAAGATTTGCGCGGCGCAAAAAGGGCAGTAGGCATGCTCCAAGCTGGGGCTACTCAACGGAGTATCGCTGAGAACAGCGGAACAAAACAAAACGTGATATCACGGTTATGGTCATGTTATCGTGCTACTGGTGAAGTGGCTGAAAGACACCTAGGCGGGAAGCGCATAACCACCCAATGACAAGACCGATTTTTGCTAATTCCTGCGAGAAGGCAACCAAATGTTACGGCCATGCAGTTTGTTCAAAGACTCCAGTCAGAGCACCAGTTGCTTGTGAGTGACCAAACTGTGAGGAGAAGACTGCATGAAGCTAATCTTAATGCTCGCAGACTGCTTCGCACTCCTGCACTACACCGAAGAAATCGTGGAAGAAGATTACAGTGGGCTCTTGAACATTTGCTCTGGGAAGGTAGCCAGTGGTCTGTAGTGCTGTTTACCAATGAGTCCCGATTCGGTTTCCATCCTGATTCGCGAAGAGTACGCGTATGGCGAACTCCTGGTCGTGAGAGCCTTCTGCAACACCCTCAGGAAGTCCATCCATACCATGGCAGGACGATTATGGTTTGGGCGGGAATTCGTGTTGATGGAAGAACCGACCTCGATTGGATCAGAAACACCATGATCGCTGAAAAATACCTCAACCAAGTTCTAGTACCAATATTCTACCCACATCGACTACAAATGGGTCAAGAATTCACGACAATGCTCATCCCCACACAGCGCGAGTGGTCACCAGCTGCAAGAGCACGATGTATCGGTCTTAGACTGGTCCGCGCAATCACCAGACCTAAGCCCCATAGAACACTTATGGGATATGCTCCAAAGAAGGGCTTTGAGGAATTTACCTACAAACATTGTCACTGAAGAGCAACTTTTTTGCATCTTTCCAGGACCTGTGACAATATTCCGCAGCAAGACTTTGATAAGTTGATTCGAAGCATGAAAAATCGTTGCAGGACCTTTGTTAACGTCATGGGTGATTTTACTGACTATTGATTTTCGCAAAATTGCAAATAACGGAATAATTTCGCTATATTTTTCGCTTTTTCTTGAAAAACACATTTATCGGTATTTTTGCCATTATTCTACTTTTCGTCTTTACTTAAATAATCTTTTAGAAATTTTATTAAATATTTTTTTTTTTAAATATATAAGATAAGATAAAAAACACTTTATTGTACAACACACAACAGAAATAAATAATTGTTAAAATATTTGTTTTATTCTGTAATCTACGCTAATAAATGGGCTCGGTAACATGCTAACGATTACTCTTTTTAGTAAGTAATGTTGTCACAACACTAAATCCACGGTCACACAAATATAACGATGGGAATGCTATCAAGAATCGTTGAACGATTGACCACAATCCAGGGTACAATTGCGGGATTGGTTTTTGTAGCCAAACTTGGTAACCATTTTTGAACTTGATTTTAATTTCTTCGTTGTTGTCAATTCTGTAAATTCTTCTTCCAGATGAGGTGACATCGCTGTGTTGACATTTGAAAATGGAACCAACATCCAGTCTGGTATTTCCTAGTTCAATATGTCCTGATTTTCATTCGGTGAAGTCAATATCCTACATTTTCCAAATTTTGGCAGTAGGCAAATAAATTGTCGTGTTAGCAGGATTTTGATAAGTTCGGAAAGTTGTGCAACTCACGTCTGCCCATATTCTTTCAATATAGAAGGAGTTTGGCTGCGTAAGCGGCAAAAACGTTTTTATTTTAATTAAATTTAGTTCATCGCCTTGCAGTTGGACATTCATGTCGTTGAACAATT